CAGATACTCGTTTACACGGCAGAATCAGTTAACGTGGCTGGGATGAAAGACTAGAATGTTTGAGGTGCTAGCAATACGCTGCTGCTAGCTGCTTTTCGCTTTCAGGAAGGGCAGGCAGCCCCAGGGAGCCAGGCACACTTGGATATGTACCTGTGCATTTTTAACAATCTCCTGTGTGCAACACCTCAGGTCATTCTCTGACTAGGACTGAAGTTGTAGGTGAGGCCCAGAAGCATGGCCCTGCCTTTGTCCAGGGTTTTGCTGCAGAAGTGTTTTCATTTGGTGGCAACTCCTGCAGCGAGCCCCACATTTCACTGTGGGCTCAGGCACACTGTGTGGCCCTGTGCTTGCTGCAGGTGAGGGTTCCTCAGCTGAAGGACCCGTGGGCCAGGGGCTGGGCCCGGGTCAGGGCAGCAAGGTCATGCACGACATGGCCTGGTGATGTGGCTGCACAGCACCAGTGACCCAGTGTGAAACTGGGGGCCGGGGGCGTTTCTGGACGTCCTTAGGAAAGTCTTTTTGCAGGTTGTTGGGTTTAATGCTGGTGCTTTTTCTTTCAATAAGCAATTCAAAAGTAAAGGCAGATTTTTCCCCCAGTGATGCAGAGGGGGGAATTCTGCGCCACATAAAAGCAGCGAGCGTTGGCTCTCATCTCAGTAACGTCACCGGGAGACTCCTCTGCTCCTCAAACCCTAATGCCTGTTTCAGTACTTCAGCCACGTCCAGCAGGCCTCATGCAAGTGCAGTAAGTGCTTTTACCACTAAGAGCAGATTACTCTTAAAATCAATTAATTACCATTACAAGATTTGTGAGCATGAAGAATAGAGAATAGCCACGCAGGCACACAAGTCTTTCATGAGCACAGCACTGTACAGCTCCATGCAGCTCAGTACTTTATCAGACAGCCCTCGCCTAATCTGCTTTTTTTTGGTGTGGGTTTTTGTTTCCTTCCCTTACTTTTGAATTAAAGAAACCAAAACCTTTCAAGCCAATGAACATAAGTTGCATGGATCTTTAAAGCGGCCTGAGCATTTGAACACCTCTTTTCACACCTGCTCTGCCACTGCCTCGTTCCTGGACTGTGCTTTTTCAGTTACTGTTTCCCATGGCCAGCATCCATCAAAGGCAACCCAAGGTTCCCTTACGTCTACAGCCAGAGTTGCATTTGCTGGGGGAACCAGACCCAGCAGGCTACCAACACTCAAGCTGTCATGAACACTGCGTGGATCTTGTGTGACTCATCTGGAGAGGATTTTCTCACCCGTGGGCCCACGACACCAGTGCCGCACCATGCTCCCACCCGCTGAGCGCCTCGGTGGCTTCTGGTGGTTGCAAGGCGGGGGCACAAACGCCCCCCGCATTTCCAGACTCTAGGGAAGGTGGGGATGACGAGCCCAGCCTCGGCCTGCCCATGGGTGAGTGGGGCTCTGGGATTTCCCTGCCAATTCTTTGCCACCCCTGTCACTGTGCCACATGCCAGGCAAACTCTGGGGACAGGACTACCGGCAGGCTAGGAGAGATCTGAATGGGATCTGATAGCTCTCAGGGAGCTATCCATCAGGAAGTGATCAGGAGTTTTAGGAAAACCCATTTGGCATGTTAATGCTTTATTCATTTATTTGTTTTTCCCTTTGGGTAACAAATAATTTCCAGCTGCAAAAATCTCTATAGACCTCACAGTCCTCTTTCACAGTCCTCTTGCCTTGCTGTATCTGCAAGAGTGATGCAAGTGATCAGTTACATGCAGGAGTAAAGCATGAGGCTGGCTACTCCCATGCTCCTCTCCTTCCTGCCTCTTCCCCATAGATGTCTATTACACTTGTGAGATAAGTATGATAACACACATTATGCTCCTGCACCACTGGTGTCAGTAGTCCAAGCAGTAAAAAGAAAAAGAAAAAAGAAAAAAAAAAAAAGAATTTTAAATTAAATACATGATACATTCTTAGGCAGTCATAAGGAAGACAATAAGCAGAAGCACATATGTTATTTAAATCATATGCAGACCCATTCCAGTGGCATAGATCTATGGAGAAAATAATTTCCTTTTAAGAGAGTCTGGCTTCAGCTGCTCCCGGATTTCTGTGCCTTTGGAAGCTCAGATAAAGAAAGTGAGAGAGCCAGTCTGTGTGGTGCATGGAGCAGGTCTGGTAGTTCTCTTCACACCTAACGGCACCTTAAAGATATCTTTACTTGTGACAATCTTAAACATTCCTTGATAAAATAAGAATAAACCCAAATCCAAGTTCTCCCACTGCACACATGGCTGTGATACCAATGATATGGACATTGTGGGTTTAAAAGCACAAGATTTTGTGACTCTCTAGAGGAGCAGCATATTCACGCATAGAAGCTGCAGGCTCTCCCTCTCCTCAGGGGTCTCCTCTTGGACCCACCAGTGACCTTGCAGTCACAAAATTTCTGGGAAAACCCTGTGTAGCAGCAAGGGATGCCAGAGCTGGCTGCTCCCAGTGTTGCACTATGCTTGCAGTCATTTTTAAATGTGAACAGCAGGTATGTGCACCAGGGAGCTCGTGTCCTCCTGATAGATGACTGCCTGCACCCCCTGGGCAAGCTGCAGCTTTTTTCTTGCCTTGCCCTCTCCTCTGCCAGTCTTGCTGTGCTGCAGAAGGAGGTTACTTTTCCTTGCTGCTTGTGAGCTAATTAACTGTCTGTCCATCCAGCAGCTCCAATAATTCATCCATAAGATGCAGTTATCAGACTCACACTGCAGAGTTGGAAGGGGTCTCCTGTATCTGGTTCCTTAATTATGGACCATCCCCTCACTGAGGCCTTGGCTGAGGGCACCAAGATTTGTCACAAAGGCACTCAGTAAGATTCTGGGGACCGTTTCATGTGTGCCCATGGTAAGTGGCGTCCGCATCTTTTGCTGGGAGACTGTTTTAATCCCCTCACTTCCCCATGCTTAGGAGCCACATTTTAACTGCCAGCTGAAATTTGTCTCATGACCATCTGTTCTTGAGCCAAAGCCTGTCCCCAGCTTAATTAGTTCACCCCCCAGGCAACATTCAAGCTGACTTGTGCTGTAGGCAGTGATGCCTCTGCCCCTCTTTCAGTGGGGTGCGCAGGGCTGCTCACATCCCTCTGCTGCCAGCAGGGCTCCATGGAGGGGGGCATGAGCCTGCGGGCTATGATGTGAGGGATTGCAGAAGAGCCCATGCAATGGCATGATGCTTCCCACACTGCACTGAAATTAGCCACTTCCATGCCTTTGAAAACCACATTTTCATCACCTAGTGTTACATCAGTGACTGGATGGTGGTGGTCATCCAAGTCTCTTTAGCTATTCCCAGCTGATGAACGCCCATCTTGGAGCATCAAGTCTTCTTATGAGTCTTTTGACTGTGACTTTGCTCTTACCCTGATTAGCTTTATTCCACTGCCATTGCTCCAAGACATCTCTCAGCCTCATCTCTGATTTTATCAACGACCTCTTAATTTCTGGACTGACTCACTAATGTGAATGCTAAACTGAGACAGGCCCAAGTCCTCTGCTAACACCCTGATCCTTCCCCAGTAGCTATGCCCTTATCTGGTCTGTAACTCACTTGCAAAACTTTTTGTCCCTCCATTCGGTAATTTCTCGTGGGACACTGTAACACTGCTTTCAGTGGCATCTGGACAGATAAGAATTACTGTTTTTTCCTAAAAATTGTTCATTGAAGAAAGCTGGCATAGAGGACCTTTGGCATGCTCACTGTGATTTAGGAGAAAGGTCTCAGCCCTTTGCCCATGGGGACAGCGGCCACCCTGCTGAAGCCACCTGTGAAGGCAGGGCTATCAGGAGAAATGGTGCTGGGGGGAGAGATGCACCTCTGTAAGCCCCCCCAGGCACTGTGGATTACCCCTGGCCTTGCCAGTAGTGTGGGAGGTTCAGAGGGATGGAGGGGAGTGGAGATGCCTTTGTGCTTCAGCTGAGGCCGCACCAGTTTCCCTTTCGTTCCCTATCCTTAATTCTCATTTCTGTCAAATTTCGTGGTGAGGTTGTTTGTTCTGTAAGGTCAAGTGGCTTCTTGCTACCTCCTCTGAAAGTGTGCCTCCTACGTCTGCTCTTTGCTGAGTGTGCAACAGCAGGCCAGCTCTGAACAAACGTTTGCTGCTGGATCATGATTCTGAGTACAAAAATGCTGGAGGAGAAATGATGTGTTTATTCCCCGAGCTCAACTACGCTAACCTGCTTGAGTTTCATTTGCTTTTCAGAGATGACCATTCCCAAGCCCTTCCCATTAGCTTCTCTGTCAGCGCCGACATTGTACCTCCTCTTTCTTCCTAAGAACAGAAGCAAACTAATGAACACTATGAAAAGAAGCCCTGTAATATCCCTAATTTCCACCCTGCCCTAATGGCACAGCAACCCTGTTTCTCCCTCTCTTCTCTTAGTGTGTAGGGTCTGCGGGCTTTTCTGCAGACAGTAGAGAAAGATGAAGGTTGTCAGGTTCCCCTTTCCTCTTGCTCCAGAGCAGATCTTGAGCTCCCTAAATAATGTTAGGTGACTTCTCCTTGGAGGGTCAGTCACTACACAAGTTGTGTAGATGAGCATGGGGAAAATTAGGCAGTTTATACAGGTAACCTGAAAAACAATTGAAAGGGGAAAAGGCTGAAGAAGTCTAATGGGGCATCCAGAAAGGTAATCAGAACATTCATCAGCTCCTAGCCAAGACCTGCCCACTTGTTCATACTTGTGATCCAGGATCCCAATGCAGGGGATGATGTGTGAGCCAACGGGATCACACATCTATGTCTATGGTGGTCTACAGGGGCTCCAGGGCCCTGGTGCTGGGGCTGTGGGGCCAACACACGGGTGGCACAGCCCCATGGCAGGAGCAATGGTCTCCTGGGGAAGGAGGAGAAGCAGGTGGGGCTGCCAGGGCTGGCACAGGTGAGGAGGCAGAGCCCTGATGGCAGGAGAGGGTGATTCGCTGGTGGAGAGAGGGAAGCCCAGATATAGCTGGGTACGAGGGGTGGGCAAGAGTTTGCCCCTTGTCTCAGGAGTAGGCAGCCTGGAGCTTGCAGGTAGGTGGGGAGTAATGACTGGGCTGGGGATGGAAAGGGCACCTGAAGAGGTGAGGCAGTGGCAGGGAGCTGGGGGCTCTGTGTGTGCTTGTCCCAGTGTCAGAAAGCTGGATGCTGCTTGGGGAGGAGGTTCCTCCAAGAGAAACTGTAATAAGCCTGTAAGTTACCTTAGTTTGAGCTCAACTTGGTGGCTTTTGTGTTAATTTAGAAGCTATCAGCTCTCCTGCGTAACCACTGGCCTCTTTTTGCAGAGGTTTGACTCAAAGAGTTGGGTTGTAGGCATTGAGTATGTGACACTTCATTTGTGATGTGCTTTGCCGTCCTTCATCTCAATGCACTATTAGTGATAGTAATTGTGAAACTTCAAACATTTTGAGAATGTCCCACATGAAAGCTTCTGTTTTGATATGTGAGAAGCAGAGTTATACCAAGGCACTTCCCCTGCTGCATTCTCTGCCTGAACCTATGCCCAAGGCCTGTGGCCTGTGTGAGATGATTGTAATACCTGTAACCCAGGATAGCCTCTCTCTTATTAATATGTGGATGGTTCGTATGAATTTCCATCATCTGCCACTTTGCCCAGATATAAATTGACTCTGGTGGGTGGGAGGGAAGAGATAGAAATTTCCATTCGCCCCAGCAGCAGGATTTTGCATTTCCTGTAGCCACTGTGTCTCTACAAGATGAAACGAAGTCTTTCCATTCGGTGAGTGGAAACTTCTGGCTTCTTCCTCTTCCTTTGGTCTGGACACAAATGAACTTGCAAAAACAATGCAAGATAGGCATGGGCCAGTCTCATGTCTTCCTTGTCCCTTTGGCAGCAGAGACATGTCCCCTTTCTGTGGTGCTGCAGCCAGGATGCTTGTGGAGCTGGAGTGTGGGGATCCATATAGGTCAAGGGGGAAATCCAGGCCTGAGGTGAGATGTGTAGGTGGAAGGGGACCACCCAGCTGGGAAACATAAGAAAATGAGCCCTGCAACTTCTTGGCATCTCTCATTTAAAGAGAATTTTTTATTTCTGGGTAGCTTTGTAACAACTGTGGTGATCTCCCCACGTGGCACGGAAATAGCACTGGAGCAGCGTCACTGGGGTTTTGTGCTGCAGATGCTAATGCAAAATTAACGAGAGCCAGAGGGACTGCCCTGACTAGGGTTGTTTCCTAGCAGACTAACACCACCCAGCAGCTGGACCCTACGGACCCTAATTTGAGTGCAAGACAAGTGCCACCTCCCACTCCAGGCTGTGTGAGGAGATGGGCTTGTGCAGCTGGGTGTGCAGCCACCTCTCCTCCGCCTTTTTGGCATGGCGCATATTTCTGCCTAGGTGAGGAATGGTACTCATCTCAAAGCAGAGGCTTCTGGAAGCTGCAGGGTGGTCGCTGGGAGGGGATGCCAGCAGGGATTCTGCAAACATGCTGGCTGCCAAAAAATGGTAGCAATTGGAAAACTGCCTGTCAGGAGGCTGGATTGGTATTTTTAAACTGACCGCTGACAGCAATCACAGCTAAACTAATCTTGGTATGCCTCTTCTTGCAAGTGCACAGATGACAGCCTTCTCTCAGCCTGGTAATTTGCCAGATTAAGGAAATCTTTCCTTTTTTTTTTTTTTTTTTTTGGTCATTGCTAAATTTCTGCTGTTAGGTATTAAATAAGGCAAACTTCACCTGCTCTCCACTGAAAGCTTCAAATTTTGGTTTCAGTAGAGACCCAAACACTTCCCCCCATTCTTCTTGTGGGGATTCACATTGAGTGAGTCCTGGCCGATGCTGTGCTCGCTCGGGGAGGCTGCAGTACTGCCTAAGCCACTTTGACTGGTTTCATATCAAGGGGTTGTTCCTTGTTCCCCAGCAAGGAAGCCTCCTGCTGCGTGTAGCCCCGTTTTGGGGGTGGCGGACAGGGACGTGTCCCCGGGTGAGCGGCTCCCTCTGCCGTGCGCCGCGGGGCTGCTGCCCCCGGGACAAACCCGGGGCTGGGAAGGGGGAGCAGCTTCGGAGGCTGCCCCTCGGGTTTGGCTGTCACTTGCTGCCTTTTGTTTTGTCCCCTCCTGTTGATGCGTTGCGTTTTAGCATCTGAGCTCTCCGTAAATTTTCTAGTATTTTAATACTGCTGGGAAAAACTTGATTTGAGAAGTGCTTGTACAATAAATAAAATGCAAGATCGCGAACTTCGGTTTTGCCGGCGCTGTGGGTGCTGTGTCGGCTGCCTTTGCTGCCGTACCGATGTAAGTGCTGCAGCTCCTTCCCGTGGCTACTTCTCGCACAGTCCCTGCGGCAGCACTTTCAGGCTTGCTCTGCTGAGATCCCCATCCCATCTAACTTTGCTTCGTGATATTTCTCTTGTCCATTTAAATCCTTTGACTGGAGTTTTAAGGAGTGGAGATTGTCCACGGGCAGAGGACAGTGTTTAGCTGGGTAGGATTTTGTGCACAGCAAAGCGTGGCCACTTGCACCAGTCAGGATTTGGTGACATCCTTGTGGATCCTGAAGCGTGGTAATAAATGTGAATTTCTGTTATGTAAATGTTTCTGCTTTGGGCGACTTCCTCCAAACGAACTGCACTTGAGAGGTGTCCTTTCTCTGTGCCTCTCAGCCTGCCTGGACTCAAAAAGCCACGCAAGGAGACTGAAGCACTCCTTGGGGCTGGGGTGCTCGGGTCTGACTCTGCCAGGACCAAGGGCTTTTCCTCTGGACTCCTGAGTGCTACCCAGGGGGCTTTCCCTGCTTGTAAAAAAAAAAAAAAAAAAAAAAAAAAGGCATTTCAGATTTAATAGTGAGAGCAGTGTGATGGATGGAGGAGAAGGGAGTGCTCCTCAGCCAGGTGGGCTCCCAGCACTGCTCCTGCAGGTTTTTGTTGCTGTCTGGGAAGTGGGACTCCTGCTCTTCCAGAAGGCAGCTGCCCATCTCACCAAGTGATGTGAGATGTGTGGGGGTAGGGAAGAGTTCCTGCAGCTGTGCCCTGCTCTAAATTCTGTGTTGTGATGAAGCTTTCTAACTCATTACCTGTCCCTGAAAGTGTTTTAGGCTTCTTTCTGGCCTCAAAAATAGTGCGTTACTCCTGATGTCGCTGAATTTGGGGATGGGGGAACTGACACTTGCTGCTAGCAAGTAGTCTTCATGTTGTATTTGATCCCTGTGCAGGCTGAGCCCGGCGGCTGCACGAACCCGGCCCCGCTCCGCCGCCAGGGCGCGCCCGCAGCCGCTTCTCTGCAGCTCGGCTCCTTCCGTGCCACCAGGGGCTGCCCAAAGCAGCCCGAGCGCTGAAACCCCACTGCCCGTGCATTTCTGTTACTTTCTTTCCCCTGTTTTTAAGTGCCTCTGGTTCACCTCTGCATCCTCTCCATGGTGCTGTTCTGTGCTGACCACATGTGCTGTGCTTTTAAGGGGGTAGAGGGTGTGGAGACAGGCAACTGAACCCCTTTTCCCTGGAAAACCAGGGTAGGAATTCCAACAGCAACTAAATTTCTTTGAAAATCCTTCTGTTATAATTCCCAGAGCAGGCTCTGCCTTGAGGGCTGGGGGAAAAGCAAGGCACAGGACAGAGCAAGGCACATCAGGTCAAAATGTCTCTGGAGTGAGATTTATTTAAAATTCAGTAAGTGAGTATTGTTCTTGTACTATGCATTTGCTTTTTTCTGAAGAGCAGGAAAAGATGTCTGTATCCTTCTGCTGTGAAGAATAGCTTCTCTTTCTGTGGCTTCAACTTGTAATGTTAGAGTTTCCTCCTCAAGCTTCCTCCAGGAGCTGTTTCAGCCCCAGATGCTTTGCATATGTGGGAAAGGCATGTGTGTGTTCAGGGATGGAGCACCTTGGTCTTCCAAAACTTTAATCGTCTTTCTATTGGCAGTGCTGCTTATGAATTGATTGCTACTTATATGACTGAAAAGGTGTAAAATTAAAAGTGAATTTTCAGAGCTCGTAAGGGTTACTGCAAGAAATGTGTATGTGAGCATCAAGATCAAAGGACAAAAAGGGATCCTCAAGCACACTTCTCCCTCTTCCTCTTCCCACATCAAACCTTGAGGTTCTGGCCACTTGGCACAACTCTTAGCAAATGCTCACTCTTGTTTCTGAAGGAAATAGCAGTGGTGGGGCTTTACTGGCTGCCTGTTGATTGGCATTGTCCTAAGGGTTTTGAACCTGTTGCTCAGTTTCAGTGGCATGTGAACATGAAGACTTAAGGTGAGGAAGCAGCCATGATGTGAGGCACACTACCTGGATGATACCTATTTACAAAAGGGTACTGACTTCAGTGAGGCTGAAGTAAATAGAAGCAAAACCAAAGGTCAGGGCAAAGACTTGGATTTACAGTTTTCCTTGCATGAGTGTTGCTGAGGAGAGGTTACCTACCCCCCATCTGTCCTCTGCAAATAAGTCACCTTAATTTCAAAATAAAGCTGCAATTGTCTCATATGGCTTGAGAGGAATGCTAATCATCAACCTGTGAGTTTCAGGGGCTACTGCAGCTGAGATTATTTATCCCATCATTTCTCACTGGGGCTGTTAAAATTCAGGCTTGTCCTGGGTGAAGACAAGACAAGCTACTTCTTGAGTCTTTCCATAATGCTAATAAGAAGCAGCAGACACTGGAAAAGAGCCTGAGGAAGAGAAATTGGCTCTGGACAAATATTCCATGTGTGCTTAAACTGAAGGTATCCCTAATGCTGCTCTGCCCTGCTTTCTGCATCACTCCAGAGCTTCTGTCTACAACCTTTCTCTAAGCCTTTAGTGCCTTGTTATAGGGTTGAAAAAGCATTATACATCCATCCAGCCATTTTTTTTATTGTTTATATACTTTCTTGCTGAAACAAGACCTTTTAATGAGCAGTTGGAAGTTGTGCATCAAGTGAACTTGAAACTTATTGATGTTTTTTAAACTCCAGCTAAATAGCTCATGGGGCCAGGTCAAGGGGATGGAAACTCAAGTCAATAATGGGACTGGGAAGGAATTCACTGAAAAAACAGCTCTTGTTTGCTTGCTTGAGGAATGATGTCTCAATGAAATGGAGGTGTGGGGATGAAGAACAAGCAAAGCCCCGGAGGGGACTGTGCCTGGTGTCTTCAGGTGGCTATGTAGGGAGGAAGGGGCTCCTGCACTGGGAAGGCCACAGCTCCTGACCCCAGCATGGCCAAGCACCCTTCCAAGGCTCCTGGGTTGGGCATGGCTTCTAAATTTTAAACAGAAATGCTCAAAATAAAATACTTTATGGTAAGTTCTGCAACAGAGCAGTCTTGTTTTGGATTCTCCATTCCATAGGGAGCTCTCACATCCCAAAATCGAGGGAAAATGCAGGCTTACATAAATGGTTCCCCAAATGAAGTAGCAAAAAAACGGATGTTTAACATGGGGGTCTGTGTCCAAAAGATCTGATAGAAAATAATGTATAATAGCAGAATAAATGACATATTCCTCAGACACTTCCATTAATACAGGTAGCATATAAAACTTGATGAAAACCTCTTTTGATTGAGCAGCATAGTGTATATATGTATCAGTAGAGGTAATTTTTCAGTAACTAGGTACAATAGTGTGACAACCAGCAGCTATAGCTGCTGACCTAGCTAGGTAAATATTGCATCTGGTAACCAGATTGTGTCCATATAGAAGGCATATGCATGGATTGACAAGGATGTGTTTAATAGTACTGTACTCGGCAAAATTCAGATCACTCTGATTCTTTTGAAATTATGTATGAAATGACTAAAGTAACTAAACAAGACCCAGATACAATGCCATAGTTCAGCATAAAACGAAGTGTTGAGTATGCCACAAGGTACCAGTGTCCCCTGTACAAGATGTCCTTGCTTTGTCAAAGCATTTTTTTTACTGTATACAGTGTGGGATGCTACAGAACTTGCAGTAAAAGATTTGGAAACAAGTCTGTGATAGCAACTCAATTTTGTTGTTGTTGTTGAACTAAGCTCAAAAGACTCAGGTGAGATACAAAGTGGGTCCCAAGTTGTGCAAAGGTCACACTGAGCTAGAATGCCATTCTCTTGTGAAAACAATCTGGTTTGTTGCTATCCATCTGATCAGATGCAAGCTATTACTTGTTTAAGCAAATCCTCCAGGAAGTTCAGAGCTGGAGCTTAGCCAGGCTGTGCTTCCAAGGAAGAGAAGTTCATAAGAATTCAAAGGAAGGAAATGTGAACTTGGGTATAGCAAGTATTGGTATTAAAAATATCTCCAAGTATGTGGTTGTGTAATGGAGAGTAGTCGATCACAGCTGAAATACAGCTTTTGCAAATTTATCGATTAAAAACAAAGTCTCTGAATAAAACCGCATATATCAGAAATGCAAGCTTCAAGACACTTCAGATGCATGGTTGTGATTTCAGCTAGGATCAACTTGACTATTCAGCTTCATTTATTGCAAGCTATTTGTCAGCCAATACTAGTATTTTATATTTTATAAAAAATGTATGTATTTTAATGGTCAGAAATACTTTGGAGTGCTCACCTGAACAAAACATCAATCTTTTAGAGGGGCAAAAGAAAAAGCTCCTGTATTTCAGTGGCAATAGCAATCTAATGCAAGCAGTCCTTGCTTTAATCCACAGTGAGGCAGTCATGGTTTACCTAGTGTGTGACTTGCTTTAATCTGTTTAGCACGTACACAGGGAAGCAATGGAAGTTTTGCAACATGTATCGCTATTCCAGAGAGAGTCATGGCTTGGAAGTTTTTTCACACATGTAAGTTAAATCTGCTTGGTAGCACTGAGTGCAGCCTTTTGTCTGCATTATTAGTGGGGTCTGTTAACCACATGCTTTTCTTTAAGTTGTGGGGAAATGATTATCTGTGCCTTGCTAGAGAATTACTGCTTACACTAGGGTTTCACTGGAAAGGATGGCTGGGCTGGGGCATAAAGCAATGCTTCACTTAACTGCTGGGCAACGATGAGCTGCACTTTTGGGGGCTACAGGATGTGCTGCTTTGAAGTGGCTGTTTGAAGGTGTGAGTCCAGCAGTGTTTATGCAAGGGAGAAAGCTCTTGGTAAAATTCCTGAATAGGTGTCATGGAAATACTGCATGGCTTTCTGTGTTCCACAGCACAAGACAAGGTTTTTAGAAAAGGTCTGGGGTCTTTAAAGTAGAGGTTTGGAGGGACAGGTACAACATTTCTGAAGGGAAACCTTGGTCTTCTGGTAGTTAGTTGGTGTTAGCATCCTCCTTTAATAGGAACATTCTTTCATGTACATTCCGTGTGCACTTCCCATAAAGCATGGGGGTAGTAAGAGAAAATATTTTCTTTTATCTAAAAGCAGTAGCCAGGAAGCAGCAAGATGTCCTGACTCAATTACTTGCTATAGTTTAATTTTGGAAGAAAAGAGCAGTCTTTCATTTGTTGGAAACTCACAAAGCATCCTTTAGTACAGCGCCTTGTTCACATTAGGCTTTGCACTTGTTATTTACTCATGCTGGCACATATTAGAACTTGCCTGCTTTTACTGCTGCGAAGAGACTGCTCTGTTACATGGCCCTGGTTTGAGCATGAGTTAGTGCTTGTGCTTTGGGGTGCTGATATCTTTCTCACTTCATGCTCGGTAGCACAGCTTAGAGCTGTGTTTAGATTTTCTCCAGGAATTCAGCTATCCATATTTTGGGGGTGGATTTTCAAATGTGAGTAAGCTGGAAATAATTGTTGCAATGTTTTTTTTTCAAAAGAAAAAGAAATAGATGCAGCATAAGGTTATATCTTTGCAAGAGAAAATCACTGCATTCGTGCTTCTACAACTACCAACTCATATTACATATTAAATATGAGCTTGCTGAACAGATTTAACTTGCTTGAGTTTGAATTATGTCAAATTGTTGCCTTGCATTAAAAATATCCAACAATGCGTGACATGAGATAGATATCTTTTCATGAGACCATATGTCTGATTGCTTGCCTTTTCCAAGTTGTAATCTGTTTATGCTCCAGTACCTCACTGAGAAGTGTGCAGTTGTGCTCTGTGCCGATATTGAGCCTTCTTCAAATAAAAATGTTTCTGGGCAAGCAGAATTTCTTTGGCACTGTGCACCATGAGGGGCTGGGGGTCTTCTATCACTAACTCTTTAGAAGAGAGACTTGTTTCTTCTATTTACATTGAAGGCATCTGTTGACATAGTGTCTGCTAAACTATTGTGTTTTACAAAAGGACCTCATACTTGAATCTAGACCTGGAGGCTTTGTGATGCTACATGGTATGGAAACATTATGAACTGGTTCCTGTCCCAGGTATTCGTAATCAAATATTAGAATGAGGTAAGAGACTATCTACTCACAATTGTGACTATTTTATTACTAAAAATACTAGAAAAAATGCCCTCAGAAAACTTCATGATTTAACAGTATCTGGCATAAAGAAGCGTGTTAAAGAGTCTGTTTTTCTGGCTCTAAAAGTCAGCTCTGTGATTCAAAGTACTACGGTGCCATGTCTTGTGAAATGTATCTGTTCTATTAATACCTCATTTTAATAAAGTGGAAAGCACTGAAAACTGTCTGAGGGTCAATAGCTGTCATATTGTTTATTGGTATTTACTCACTTGCCTCTGACACAGTATACTTCTAATTGGCAGGCAGGCAAATGAATTGGCTATAATTCTTCTTGCAGTGCTCTCAGCAGGTTGCAAGGGAACAGGAGAGGGAAGGAGAAGCTCAAATAGCATGATGCCTAGGGGGAAATAACAGGACAGAAAGCCCAGAAATTGGAGCTGAAAGAAAAAAGGAAGATTCATGGGAGGGAGAACCATGTACGCAGAAAGTTCCACTGCAGGGATGGTAGCTTGAGCAAAGACATTGGGAATGACCTTCCCTGTTCCTCAGGGGACTGACCTTGGTCATCTTTTCTGTGTGGGATCTCACTGAAAGCAGTGAGAAGCTGAGTCTGCAGCTATGATAGGTCCAAATTGTGGAAGGTTTGATTTTGTTTTAAATTGTCCACAGTGTTGTGGCAAACCTATGCTACCCTTGACATTCTTCACACTTGGATTAATGTGAAGAATGATGAGTCCTCCAAGCAGATGTATGGAAGAAAAAAGTCAGGTCTTCCATGTGCATCTCCATTCCTCTTTAACAGATTTTGAGTTTTGAGGTGCATTTTTTTGATAACTACACTAGGAATGAAGGGGCAGATTTGATAGGACTTGGATGCAGTCTTTGACCTAAGGTATGAATTGTTTCTTAAATTTGACAACAGAAAAACAGACGCATTTGGCAATTGGCTGTTGTGTCTTGCTGAGCCTTGGTGCATGGAGGGATTTCAAGCAAATGTAGCGAGTACCCACTGGAATACCTGGCTGCTCCAGTGTCAGCAAGGTTTAATGGGAGCCAGCCTTCTTTCCTGGAAGGAAAAGCATGGAAACAAACACAAAGCAGGTTCTGCTGGTGATACTGGCTGTTTTAAAAACAGAAAAGAGCATAAAGAAAGAAAACAGATCCTGCTCTGTGGGTAAGGAGAACTGGGGGGCGGGGAAGGGGAAGCACAAGAGGGCTTTTAGGAACTCTCCAGAAATTCCAGTTAACCAGAAATCCAGATGTGGATCAGCACTGGATCCATATGCTAAGGAAAATGTATTTCAAAAAAAAGCAAGAGAAAAAAATGGTGCTGCAAACTGAACTCCTCAAACCATAGTGCTCAACTTTTGGTTCCCGTACTTGAAAATGCCTGCCAAAGCCTTATAATGTTTGTTTGTTGTGATAGTTACCACTGATATCAACCATTCTCTTTCACTACCCTTTATCCCCGAGGAAAATAAGAGCTGTTTTATTAGTGGAATTTGGTGGGGTATCCTCTGGGGAGGCAGCAAGCAGACCTTGGGCGGGGGTGGGATGGGGGGGACAATGCTGTGTTTACTGCCCCAGACACTGCTGCTTGCTCATTTCATGACTTACAGACTTCCAGAAGGGAAGCAGGCCTTAAGGAAAGAAATAACTTTTCACAGACATAACAGGCCTCAGAAGATTAGCCTGTGTTACTTTAAATTTGATTAAACTCATGCCAGGATATTGCTTTCAGATACTCCGTTTGAGGGGAAGGTGGTTTAAGAAGTGTATGGAATTTGGGTCACAAATTAACAATTTTCCCATTGTTCTCCTTCCTCTCTGGTTAATAAGCTGCAGCGTGATTTGGAGAACTCATCATGTACAACAATTGCAGGAATAGCCCACATTACAATCCGTTGACTCTACCATGCAAGATGCACGCTGCTTGCAATATTCCTTCTGCTTTATCTCAGTCCCCAGCTGTGTAACCTCTGTGAGGAAGACTCTTAGTGAGCATAACTCTACAGGTGATGTGCTTGTTTCCACTGCTGTTCTTTTCTGATTTGTCCCAGTATGAGCAACACTGAAATCAACATGTCAGCTGCCATTTTAAGTCTGTATCTGTTTTGCTGAGAGAAATTTTATTGCCACCGTCTATCATCTTTTTGTAAAGTTTGGAAATCTCAAAAATGTGCTAAGTTATACTAGGAAAATGCTTGTGATATAAAGCTGCTTCATCCCATTAAATTTTCAGGTATACTTTCAATACTTCTCCAGGAAAAAATAGGCAAGGATCCAGGTAAGCTCAGCTGAGGTTAAATTGTGTATTTGTGGCAGAACATACATTCAGCTCTGGTCTCTCATAGCAGAAGCAAATATCCTTTTTCCTAATTTTGAGCAGTTACAGAATCTTATTGTCTTTTTAAGGTGTATCTTGGATGGTTTCCATTAGGCAGAAGCAAAGCTCACCATGTTAGAGTGTGGGAGGAGTGTAAGAAAAGGAAGAAACAAAAGACATTTTTCACACCCCCTGGAAAGCTCTCAAAGAACGGAACTATTAATGCACTGGGAGGAAAGTATGAAGAAAGTGCACACAGCTGCTATCAAGTAAATTGTGCAGGACTGATCAAATGACAAAAATGTTGGAATACGCTTCAGGGACTATAACTGCAATGCCAAAGGAAATCTGGTAGAAGTTCCATAGGCAAGCAGGATATTTTTTTCTAGTTGATGAAAAACTGTTCTGCTGATGTATTCTCAGTCCTAAAATGACGTGCAAGCTCTCCCTGCTGCTGAATCCTCCCCTATGCAAGCTCTTACTCCAATGTAGAAGGGCTTACAACATTCAAGAAAATGAAAGTAGCGCCAATATTAGGCATATTCTGGGCTCACAATTCTGGTATCCATTTACATGTGGAATTTCCAAATTGTGGGAATTCAGGAAGCTCAAGTTCTGATGTACTGTCACAAAGTGCTTTGTCTTGTTCAGGAGGCAGCGCTTCCACACACCTACTATGCTATGGAGGGGCTGAAGGAAGGGTGGTTTATCTGTTGACATGTAGGCAGCTGGCACTCAGAAATGTGAAGAGCCTCTTGGGGTGGAGCTGGAATTAGCAGCTGTGTGCAGGTGGTGACAGTTCTGCAGATGTGCCCTGGGAGGGAAGACATGTTTCTGAAGTAATCGTACCTTCTGCAGTGTTATGCTTAGCTTCCAGTGCTTTTCTGATAGCCATTCCTCTGGTGCTGAGACCCATAGGAAGAATAGGCAAGGATTTTTGTTAGAGATGCAAGCTTTCACTTGCTGAACCACCTGAACTGAAAATCCAGAAGTCAGGATGCAGTGGATGCAAAATTAAATAAAAGAAATCCTGTTTAAACATAATTGAAAGCAAACAACCAAAATATCGTGCTACTTTTATGGTGAAAGTGCTCAAGCAGTCGAGCGGGTTGTTCAGAGAGGTTGTAGAGTCTCCATCTTTGGAGACTTGAGGTTTCAGATATTCAGGTTAACAGAAGCATATCCTTGATTTAAAGGCTCCCTTTCTGGTGATGGCTTCTATATAATGAGTTTACAGGAAATGGAAAAGCCCCATTAATTCCAAAGTTCTTGGAGTGAGATCCTGAATGCCTGCTTTGACACCTGAAGCAGGATTCCCATGCTATCTAGGTGTCTAGATCAAAGACAGCAAGCTACAGTATGCACTCAGTGGCTGCATAAAGATTGATGTGTAAAACTAAGCTAGTTCCTTCTTGTTTGTCCCCAAAGTTCCTTGCATGCAAAGCTGGATGTGCAAGCATGCACACAGGTAGCCCATCCTGGAGAGCTGGGTCCCTTGTGACAACCTGGGTGCCTTTAGGACCTAAAGGTGAGGTCGTGTTTGTGGCTGGAAGCTCAGGAGGGGCTGATTCCCCTCAATATGCTTGGAGCACTGCTACTGGCACACACACTGAACGTGCAGCACACTGCCTGTGCTTCTCTGATGCATAAGGGTGCAAAAGGAAGCGATGCTCACCTCTTGCGTAGTGGCTTGGTAACTACCTGTGCCTTCTCTGTAGGAGGTGATAGCTCTGTGTTCAGCTATTTTCAGTCTGTCTTCCACTTTCCAGCAGCATCTCTTGTTCACAAGCTGGGGAACTGTCCAGGCTGGATCTGCACTCTGGGCTAGTTCTGCAGCTTGGAGTAGAAATCATGAGATCAGCTGATGGCTAAGCCAAAGCAACCATCATATTGGTCATAACAATAGGAGCTGTATGTATATTCTGTATGGATTATTAACACTGGAGTATAGATTTTGTGGAGTAAGCATACTCAGTGTTTGTAAACTGCTATCAGCCTTCAGCGCTGTGCTGGAAGGACACCTATCTGATGTTAGCCTGATACAGGACTGAGGCTTCCAGGCAGAATTGCAATCAAGTCAGCAGTTCTGTGTGTTTTCAGGGGGGACTTGAACCTATTGGGTGATGTGGGAGGGGGTTACCCTTCCCTTCTTTCCCAACTGCAGTAACCAGTGATAAGACAGTTAATGACAGTACAATGATAATCCCTTTGGCATATGGATAGGCTGAATTCAGTATTTCTGTACCTCGCATTCCTTTTTATTTGTAACAACAACAAAAAATACCTAAGAATTGTTCTTAGATGTTTTTGTAATAGCTGACATTCTTCAAGGAAGATTAATAAAGTTGTGTCTATTGAAAGCATGCCTTTTCTAGGCACAGCTTAAGGCTTCTCCATTTATATTCATGAAAAGAGTCTAATTCAAGGTGGTCTCTAATAACAACCCTTGCTGCACTTCGGGGCTGACTTGTAAGTTCAGTACTGCAGCAATAAATGCACATAGATATCAGGTCTGGTTGGGATTTTAGGTGAGAGAAAGAGGGCAGTTATCTCTTGGAAGGCAAGAAACTCAGCGATTTAAAAGGCAAATAACTACAAAATTGCATAAAACTAAGCTTGTTGTGTAAGTGGTACAAAGTCAGATCTGCTGTTCATTCACTAATACCAGAAGCACTGAGCTTATGTGAGGATATAGCTTATAAAAACATTGTACAGTTTGGAGTTTATACTATATTGTTGCTTTTCACTCTTTTTACAGTCAACGCACTCTGGCATTGACTGGAAAATTGTTGTTTGGTTTGTGGTATCCTGGTGGAATTCATTTTACCACATCTGTTCACCTGATGACTATCACCTCGGTTATCCACTGCATGCAGAGCCACAGAGCTAAATACATTAATTTTAGCATGTTGAAATGAGATTTAACAGGCTTGCTTCCTGTACTACAGATTAATCATTCATCCCTAACTTTAAAAGAAACTTAAATATACATAGATCTTTCACTTATTGGGCTTTAAAAAGATAAGCATTTGAAAGTTGTGAGGGTGATTTGTATATGATGTAAACATTCATGCTTGCAGGATGTGAGCCAAAAGCTAAGTGGAGTCAAAAAGAAATCACTCAGTTAAGTTACTTCATAAGTGCTTATTGAATTTTTTCTTTATTCCTTTCTGAAGCAAATGGGTCTGATGTAGGGGAATGACTCTGGTCTCTTTGTCCTTTAATTGTAAAAGTAACTTCTCATATTACATTCCAAATGGACACCATGAATTTGTGTAATATTCTTTCAGAAAAGAGACTTGATTCTTCTATCAGATTCAAAGGAAAATGGGGATTTACATGAAGAATATTCCATTATATTTTTGATTGTTTTTTTTTCCCCTGCACAAACATAAAAGCTCCTAGTACCCCAAATCCAAACATCACTTTTTCACCCAGGTGTCTAAGTGCTTATAAGGACTTGAGCATCAGAGCTTGGCTTCAGTCCCTGTTTGTAAATACAAAAACTTCGTACAGAAACAGCAGGTGCCTTCTTCCTGAGGCAGATTCATTGACAGCATAATACAGAAAGAAATCTGAGCTGGATAACAGTGCAATTGCAACACAATAGAGCAGATCTTGCATTTCCTGAGTGCCATTTATGTAAAACATAGCTGGCAACTTGGAAGTCTCAAATTTGCCTAGAGATGGGAAAGCTAAAATGAAATGAGTATGTTTTATGCAACCACTGCATGTGCACTTTGTTTAACGAGGACTCAAAATTTTTGTTCAAGTAGATGGTTCAGCTGATCATCTATTAAATGTAAACAGAAGATGACAAACTTCTGAGGGCTATTTCCCACTTAGTGGCAAGTTTAAGGCTGAATGATTAGCTGAGGATAGAATAATTTTGACAGCCTTTACCTAGCATTGTTCTGAGTGATGTTGAGTGTTATAAAATAGATGTCAACTTTTACAAACAGGGCAGCTGGGCATGAAAGCTGCATGAAGATCATGTGCTGCATAAGTGACACAACAAGGAGTGGAGCTTGTCACAGTTGCTGGCCCAGAGCAGATAATGTTGAGTTACCTCTGCATCTTCATTTAATTTGGGGTGGGAAGGGGGTTAAATGGTTGTAAGAGATAGTGAGCTGTGAATTTTTGCTTGTGTGATGAAGTGGATAAACTATAGAGTTTTGGCATGCAGTCAGCCCTAATACCAGTAATTTCAGAAGAAGTAACCTTTTGGGATGAGCAAGTATTCATAAGTTTAGGAGATCTGGCCCCAGCAACATCCTTTTGTTATGACAGAGGGAATTTCTTCATGTTCTTGTAGATCGGCCTAGATGGAATTAGCCATGAAGTCATGTTGAATGTCATATACAGCTTCTATTGTCTCCAAAAAAAATCCTGAAAGGACTGAATTTTCTATTTTAAGTTTGGGATTTTTGATTTGTTTTGGGAATACATTTAATCTAAAGTAATCAGGAAAAATAAACTTTTCAAAATTAATAAAAGGAATGGTGTATTATTCATCCTCCAACTATTTTTTTTTCAATTCCAATTTAGTAACAGATCCCAGACCCACTTATTTGCCTCCTACTTCCACATTAGAGATTTGATGAGCCAATAATTTATCAGAAAGGCCAGGGGCCCCAGTAGTGAGTGCTGTGACATTTACGCCCTTTTGTGAATCAAAGCCAGACTTCCCAAAGCTGAATGCTCCAGCTGTGTCGAAGGCCTGGAAAACATTTTCCTTTGGCATCTAGCACCAGCGAAGCCCCTTAGAGTAGGATTGCTCCAATTAATGTCCATCCCAGTGGATTTGGAACGCCTCCACCCGAAGCAGGGCAAAACAAGGGGCACTTTCAAATAGTGATTTTGTTGTCTTTGCTGGGGAGATTGTTCTGATTCGGGTTGGCCTTCTCCCCCCAGCAACAGGGGCATGTCAGGAACGAATGCGGCATCTCTGGTTGAATTCAGGGGGTAATCTTATTGGGTTTGCAGAGTTACTTGGAGAACTGAGAGCTTCAGTCTGTAAGATGGACTAGTGCCCAGTGTGGCTAGTAAAAGTAAGAACACTGCTAAAGTCATTACCAGAGGAAAAAACACACCCGCTAACTTCAAATAGGCTGTTGGCTTCTTGAGAGAAGGCCAAACTTCTTCCAATACTGAGGATTTTGCCAGTTACCTCCCCACCCCCCCTTATATATGTGTGTATATAAAATGTTCCTTTTTAGCCTGAACTGCTAAGAAAACAAGACATGTGAGCTCACTGTCTGTTTATCCATCCCCAGTCCCCTCTCATAGCTTTTAACCCCATTGCTCAGTTTCCACCAGTATTGAAAGAAAGCTTCAAAGCCCGTTACACTCCCACTAGCCTGGGGGACGTGAGGAGCTGGCTGAGGAGAAGGGGTAGGCCAGGATCCTGTGTGGTAGTCACCCGTGGGCTGGCTGTCACGGCATGGGCTGCCTCTCACCCCAAGGGGTGCAGGGGGGGCTGGGCTGGTGCCAGGAAAGATGTTGGAGAAGTAATGCTCCTGGCATGCCAGCAGGAAACCAGACTCTTCTAGCTGTGCTGCTTGTAGAGCAGCTTCTGAGTGAGACCAGTTACGGAGACGTCTTGCTTCTGGTTTCTGGTGTTGCTTCGTGAGCAAAAAAAGAAAGCCTTGGCCACGCTGAAGCCAACAGCAAGACTGATGGCCTTCCTGTTGTGTTTGATTTCTCCTGAGAACTACTTGCAGTTTTCTTTAGGCCAACAAGCCTTTGCAATCATTGCAGACAATGTAGATCTTCCTGTGAGAGGTATGAGAAGGCAAGATCATAAGTGGTGGTGAATTGGCCAAGCAAAGTTCTTTTGGGTAGAAATCACAGGATTTTGTGTGGCTATTGCGCTCTCCTATTCACTGAGCACATGATGACCTGCCTGAGTGTGTAACCCCTGTTCTGTAAAAATCACAGGGTTTCCCCACAAAGCTGTGCAACTTCAATATGCCTCCAAGCTTCTTTTTCTCATTCTTATTAGGTGTTGCCACCAGGAGTTCTCTGAAGAGACTATTTTCTGTGAAAGGTCTTGGTCTGTAGAATAGGTTTCTATGGCTGGTCCAGCAAATGGGTATATACTATTCAGGGCAAATAGCAAGATGACAAGGTTATGGATTTTGTCTGAGGTAGTTTATCTGACTCCTTATCTATCAATAAGGAGAGCCTTTGAGGAGGATGGTTTTCCTTCAGTTTCTGGACATATGCTTGTATGGCTTTATATTTTTTATGAATATTTTGTTAATGCTTACAAACATTTGTCTTTAGTTCTGTAGGAGCAGAAGTAAAACCAACCAGCTATTTCCTTTTTCTTGTAGATGAGTAAACATCACTTGCAGTAAGACTGCAAGTGGGGTGGTAAGACATGCTGAAGTGTAAAGAATCTGGTCCAGCAATGTAATCCCTATGGCCCTTCTTATAAACAAACAGTAATTTGTGCATTCTGTTTTATGGAAAGCGTTGGTTAGGATTTAACAGGGTTTTGGGGGAATGGAAAGAGTGAGTTGGAAACACAAAAAGGAAACCATAAAGGAATTAGATCCTGATGAATTAATGGAGGAGAAAATCATAAAATGTTTACTGGAAGAAATAGCTCCCTAACTAAAATGACTTAATACTTCACCCCTGCAGTCTCCACCTGGGCCCCTAGTGAACTGCTCTGAATTAAAGATGCAAACGTCTGCTTTGAAATGAGGAGATTTTATGTGCCACTATCAAACCTGCAGCTATACTATCACAGATGTAATCTGCTGTAACTGGTAGATGTGGCTGCCAATAAGTAAGTCCATTCACAGAGAAACTTCTGTTTCAGCACTAGCTTTTTCACTCTTGACCTGAAGCCTGCTTTGGCTCAGGCCACTGATGTGCTGCATCCCTGTGCACCAGCACGTCAAACCGCAGCAGTGGGCCTCTGCTGGCAAGTCTGTGGGCACAACATCCAAAACATGCTTGGGACTCGTGCCTTTCAGCAGAAAATTGAAAACCCTCAAATGAATAATAGGAAATATTTACGATTATTTTTTTTTCCAACAGTAAGAGGATATTCCTAAGGCTGCTAGTATCATGTAGTTTATTCTAAGACACATGGGGATGGATGCTCCACTAAGGTTATTTTTTTCTTAAATCTTCAAAGGGTATTTTTGAGGATATAGAGGGATTGTGCAGATACTGTCACAGTGTCAAAGGTGAGATGTGTTAAAAATAAAAGATTCAAGAAGTAACATCCTACCATTTAAATTTCCAGGCAGCTGTGTGAGCTGCTGTTTCTTCCTAAATCATCAGTGTCTCATGGGAAACGGCTGGGACAAGCTGCTGGGTGTTTTTACGTCACTGTAGTGAATCTGTTCTTCCTGAAAAGCTGGAACCTATTTATTTTTAACAGCCTCACTTATTTCCCAAGGGTCAGCATGTTTTCACATACTGCATTTTAAAAATTTCTGAAGCAGAAATGACGATTAGACCTGTCACTCCTTTCACAATGGAAGACTTTGTTAGCTGCCAGCTCCCTCGCCTCCTTCCGCGGTAGCAAGCCATAAGGTTTTCAGACAAGAATACAGTAAGTGACATATTTCCACTTTTTGACACTCCCTCCACTTTGCTATAATCATAACCCAGTTCTAAGACCCTGTTGTTCGAGCTAATCTGGCAGTAAAAGTTAGACACGGGCACACACACAGGATG